TTTCATGTGCAAATAAGGTTAATATTGTTGGTGGCTGGCTGCGCTGGTTCCCAGTCACCTTTGATCCAGCTGCCAACCTCAGCTAAACTTGACAGAGAAGCAGAGGTTTCAGGGATACTAACTTTCTTCAAGTTTTGTGGGGAGGAAAAAAAAAGTGCCCATAGAGAGAAGAAACTCCAGAGTTACTCCAAAAGGGAGCCTGCAGCGTGAGGCCTTATCCTGACACCAGAGAACCTATTTGGGAAGCAAGTTTGCAATATGCCAAGGAGAAGAAAAATCCCAGTCTGAGCTTGCACCTTCCAGCACACAGCTCAGTCAGCTGTGGGGGACAGAATCTTGGGAAGTTCATGTTAGTACTTGCTGTGCTCATGGGGCTATTGCTACACTGACTTATTGGGTGAAACAGGTTACATAAAACTTGTATTTTTGCTAAGGAAAGGGCTCACCAAATGGTCCCATCCTCTTCATTTTACACCCCGGTCTGTGTACTTTGCCTGAAGCTGGACTGCTCAGTTCTGTTTCCTCACACGAGAAAAGACACTGGCATCTCCCAGCCTCTGGCACCCCGAGATGGGATAGAAAGGAGTTCTGCATGCAAGGGTCACTTGCCTCCTGGTGTGTATCCGTGTACCTCAGACTATAACAAGCCTGGCTGTGACTTACGTAAAGCTAGGAGTTAAATTCGTCCTTTTTAGTCCCTCAGTGCCATTGATTTCAGCAAGGCGAAAAGGATTTGGCCCCGGTTCAGATTCCAGGGAAGAGGACAACATGTTCATAGAGTGCGGGAAGGTGGAGGTCAGGCTCTCTGCTCTGGAAGCGACTGCCTGCAGATACCTCGTCATCCTTCACCTCGCTGCGTGCTGAACACCTTGGGTGGACTTTATGTCCCCATCCCGGGGTAATGAGCATTGCTAAGCCACTGACGCAGGAAAGGCAATGGCTGACACTTCAGGTTGTCCTGGAAAGAAGAAGGATTGTTTGTTTTTCAATATTTATGTTTATCTACATTTTAGTTGTTTCTTATTTGAGTGGAAAGAAATACTCCTTTAAGCCTTCCATCTTTGCTTGAATGAATTTTTTGTTGATCATAGTGGAGTTGCCTGGAGAAAACCTGCAGAATTTGCCCTTCAGGTTCCTTTGATCTATTGTTAGCCTGCTGGATGTGTCCTTATTAACCCAGACTGTAAAGACTTCTTATTTTAGATTACAGATTAGATTCTGTGAACTCTTGAGCTATGCTGTGAAGTGCCTTCCTGGGTTTCCTTAGAATTTATCAGAAGAGCAGGATGCCTGAATATATTGTATTTGTAAATAGGAAAGAACCCTTGTAAATAACAAGTGATTTTTATTATGTCTGCCCATCAAAATAGTGGATCTGCTATGATAACTGTTCACTGTTAAATGTTTTGTCACACTCTGCATGCCAATAGTACTGCATATTTAAAAATAGCAAGACTTGGTATCAACAGTGATTTTGTGAACAAGAAAGGGGAGAACAAAAGCATTTAATCTGAGAGGGAAGTATTTGCAAATTGGCCTCTGACAACCAGCAAACTTAGGCAGGAATTCAGACAGCTGGGAACCAAGATGTCCTGAATTGCAGGTGGGTATTTTGCATTTGCAAAGCTCTAGGTAGGGGCTCAGGTGGCCCAGCCAGCCAGCATGGCTGGCCCACATTCTGCTCTGCCCTTGGGGCTACTGTGAGCCTTGGAAAGACTCAAGTGATCCGTCTTTTGATGGGCACCATTCTCACTACAGCGAACTACATCCATCCTTCCATCCTAAGAGGGAGAGAGTAGCCATATGGGGCTGGAGGAGATCATTACACAGGAAACTTCCGAAAGGGTCTGTGAGGTTACTTCCCAAAGTGAAGTTCCCAAAGTGGCTCTGTGTTGTTCTGACATCGACCTCATACTGCAGACCATAGGAGGAGGGATGGTGTTTGCGCAGTCCTCAGGTAACAACTAATTTCATTCACTTGAAAAGAGTTTTATCCAGACACTTTACCCTAGTCTAAATATGAAAAAAAAAACCATGATCCAGAGTGCAGGTTGTTTTCTGGTTATTACCCAGTCCGTACATAACTATTTCTTGGAGTTGGATTCTCAAAGTAGATCATAGAATCATTCTGTTCGGAAAAGTGATCATCAAGTCCAACCGTAGATCAGACTGCTGACTTTGGGGAGGTGTCACAGTTACTAGATTCAGTGACCTCTGTGTGCGAAAGGGTTGTTTGTGTTCATGAGGGAGCAAATAGAACAACAAGGAGGTTAGGAATTTAAACACACTGCAACTGTGAGTAACCACTTGGCGCTCTGTGATACCAGTGCAGTTTGCTCATAACGTAGAGGTTTCCATTCAGCAGCCCATGGTGCCACGGGGTGTCAAAGCAGAGGAACTGGAGCTGCTCCGAGGTGGTTGATGTGAAACGTCTCAGTCGTAAACACGACCGTTTTGATCTGAGGGCGGCCGTTGGGCATGTATGTCACACACTATTTCTGCCAAACCAGAGCAGAGAAACTAGTTTGATGTGCTTGGTTAGCTCCACTTTCCAGCTCTGGTGCTGTACGGCAGTTGCAAGGATTCCAGTTTTGCAGACATGCTTAGATGATGCAGAACCACCCAAAACTCACAACCATTTTTTCATTAAAAGAGGTGCTAATTAAACACCTTTTATTTCTTTCATAAATACATTCTAACTTTGCTTAGTTGTGTTCCAAAAGCCTGAATTTTTAATTAACTATACACAATACACCTTTTCCTTTTGCAGTAAGTGATTCTGAGCTTCTGTGGACAATTGTTATTTTAATACTCTAAGGTTTTAGAAACAAACTGTTTGTTTACAGCAGTAGGTCAGCAAAGCATACTTCACCCCTCAGACTGAAATCTTGAAAATGGCTGTAGTCACGGTGAATGTTACTATAAATAATCTTTCAGTAAATCTCTTAAGAGATCAGTGTCTGTGGACAAATTAGCAATCTAGGTTTTTGACTTATCTGCACCTTTTTAATGTTATTCCGAGTATTTTTTGCAGCATGCAAAATCTTGCCGTATTCAGCTGCGAGCCTGTAGCCTGTCTTTGTGCTGCATGCAGGAGTGCTGCAATCAGAACTCTCTGATCAGTGCCTTTGCAATATGCATGCACTAGCTAAGGGGATTAAGATAAACTCCTGCAGTTAATTCTTGCAGGTCATGCCCTGCCCATCGCAGAGAGACTTGAGGAGGGAGTCGTATGCTCAGCAGCACTTCTGTTGTTGGAAGAGCTGTCCCTCTTCACTGCTTGTCTGCTTGCAGCTCCCTTTACCAGAAAGGCTCATGCAACCTGCCTGGCAGCCCAGGAGGGAACAGTGCTCTGAGCCCAGCTGGTAGTGCTGCGGCTGGTGGTGCATTTTCAAGCATACCTGCGTCATCCAGGCACTTTTCTAAGCAGCCTTGGTGCTTATATCACCCTCCTGGGTGGCACTGGTCTGAGGCCTTGGTGGTAGCATTCAGCATTTTTCACAGTATGGTCATAAGAGTCTTTGTACCGGAGTTTCTCAAGGCAGGAAAAAATGGTTTCTCTCTTTCTTACTGCTGGATTTAGCAATTGCTTTTTGAACCCTCCTAGCCCGTAGGTACATAGTTGAGCAGGCGGCTGAGCTTTACGAACTCGGTGAATGTGTTTGTGTGATTTTCGGTGACCAGGTAGCGTCGTTATCTTGGACTTTCTGTAAAGGCAGGGCTGGTGGTACTGCAAAACAAGTCCAGTACTGTCCATCTCTCCGAGCCCTAAAACAGGGAGCTGTGGGAGTTGGCACCACAGGTAGGAATTGTGGAAACAGCTACAGCCGCAGGGAGCTGGCAAAGCTAATATAGACACAAAGCGGGGAAGCAGTTGAACAATTAAGCTGTTTATTCCCCAAAAAATGTGACCTCTCGGATCAGGTATGCGCGTGAGGAAGTTCAAACAGCAAATATTTCTGCTCTTTCCTTCTTAAGTGTAAATGACCTTGGTTTAAACCCTCAACTCTATTTGTACCTGGGATGAAAGAGCCAGGGCCCGATAAGGGGAGCCAGACAGTGCCGCAGGCCCCTCTCCTGCTCTCGCGCATGCAACTGCAGATTGCTGCATTCACATCGCTTCCAAAGTCCCATCAGAAGGAAACTGTCTGATTCTACCTGCAGTCAGGAGTTTATCACATGCACTACACTCATGCATGAAAAATGTGAGGAAAAACATTCCAGATAAAATAAGTGCAATTAGTTTGCAGTAGATCTGGGGGGTTGTGGTGTTTGAGGTTTTTTTGATTGTTTTTTTCTCTCTCTCTCTTAGCTTTAAATTTTAGCAGCAGACTTACCAGTGTTGCAAGGGGATACAACAACATTAAACCCCCCTTACTGCCACCCCCTCTTACATACTGGAGCATCTGCTTTGGCCTGCTTCCATCTCCACCATCTAAACCAAGCTGCCAAGTATCTGAAATACTATAGCGAGGGCATCTAGAAAATGTCCTGCCGGTTGTCAGTGTGTGAAGGGGGCTTGTTGTAGGCTTAGCACCTTTGAGAAGCTGTTGGGTTACTTTGGCCAAGCAGAGGAAAGGTGCTTATGACACATGGTGTTTTAGGTCAGTGGGTGGATAATAATATCTGTACTTGCCAGTCAGGTACAACAAAGGAGTACAACTCTCTTATCTTTATCTTTATCTTCCCGCCCCCCCGGCCTCTTCTGGTAACGAAGTGGCCCAAAAGGAAGCGCTGTGTGCAAGTACTGCACTCCTCTTCCCTCCTGCTGCCAGAGCATGTACTCCCTCCCTTTGCTAATTGCTTTTTAGGGTGGAATAGTTAATTCTCTTCAAGTATATTGTTTAAAGCTTGATAGATTGACAGAAGAATACAAGTCTATCTGTTGAACCGGCATGAAGCACAGCATTCCCTTCCTCCCAGAATGGAGGAAATGATTATTTGTCGTTATTTTTGCTTTCTTTATTTGTTCTAAATCTCTCTGGGTGTCTCTTGAGCAGGCCCAGAGTCCTTGGCTTCCCCACTACGGAGCAGTTGACGTCCATTTCACTGGCATGACTGACTGTTTCCGTCAAACTGTGAAGAACAAAGGTGTGCTCGGACTGTGGCGCGGACTCACGCCCAGCCTGCTCAAGGTGAGGTTTTGTTTTCATCCCAGCCACAGACTGCCCTGAACTAACCCAGACACCGTGGCAGACAGATGGGGTTTTGTGACCTCTCTCCATGCCTGTTAGCAGTTTATTGATGACAGTCTGTGAGAGAACTGGTGAAATCTCAGTTTTCTCTAAAATCAGTTTTATTTTTATATATTTTTGTAACCTAGTACATAGATTGGGTCATATTCCCCAGCTGCAAGCTTGATTTCTAGATGTCACTACTTCCATCAAATTAATTTAAATGCCCTTAGAAAAGGGAGTGCTGCTAACTCACAAGCCAGGAGGTGGAGGAAGGATTGCAAGGGATCCACTTCCTTTTCAGCAGGTCTCCTGTAATTCCCCATGCTTTTTCTAGCTGTAAAGAAAATTGCATTGGTATAAAACACTTCCACGGGAACCCAGACTAGCATTTTGAACCCGCCATTTGCAGTGAGCTGGGAGGACATGTGTATGAATTACTACACAATTAAAAGCATGAAATAAAACTCAATGGTCTAAACAGAAGGTAGTTTATATAAATGCATTTTACAGTGCAGTGAATGAGGATTGCCTACATGGAGCACTGCAGGTGAGCTAATGGAGTAACAACACGATTGATGGTGACTGCTTGAATCCTACCTTGGCTAATAGAAAACCACATAGCACCAGAATCTCTGATTCTGCATGAGGCAGAAGAAGGATTGCTCGGTCGTTCCACTGCATGCAGGATAAATCTCAAATTCTGTGTTAGGGTTTGCTAAAGTTGCTAGGATTTGCCTAGGTATTTTTAAAATTGTGTTAATTTATAGGCTAGCACACTCCTTGTTCCTTACATTATCACTATAATTAGCGATGTATAAATAGTGAACTCCTACTTTTAGCATGCTGCAGGTGCCAAGCAATTTGAGGTGAGACTCTTAGTTTATATATCAGCACAGCTTTGTTGAGAGACAAGATCAAACATGAAACCCTAAAAGTCTTCTTTCTAAAACTTCTAAGAACAGTTAGTGATTCTAACATGCATTGCTATGTTTCTTTTTCTGTTTTTTTGTATCAGATTGTCCCATACTTCGGTGTAATGTTCAGCACCTTCGAATTTTGCAAGCGGGTCTGCCTATACAGAAATGGTTATATTGAATCTCCTTTAAGTTACAAACTAACTCCTGGAGTGGATCAGAGTTTACAGCCGCAAGAACTGAGGGAATTAAAGCTCCTCCGCAGAGAAAGCTTTGAGCCAAGGAAATCAGCTTTGGAAAACTGAGATCAGAATGTCCATGGCAGATGTGGTTGCCTTTCTTCATCAATTCTGCAAGAAAGACATGCTGAACTGCAGGTACCAGAATCTCAGACTGTATGGTTTTAGTATTGAAACACCGGTATAAGTCTCGCATCCAATTTGCTAAATGGATACAAGCAATGTGAATATCAAAGATACTTTGAAGAGAAGAAATGCAACTAGTTTGAAAATGTTATGCTACTGGAAATAAGCTTAGCTTGGGTGCTTTTCAGTGCTGGATAGTCCTTTTAAGATAAAACCACTTGCAAAGTATAAGGGAACTGAGATGAGAGTACAAATTATTCAAAATGTTAGAATATATTTAAATATCTTTAGAATGTTAGAAAAAAATCAGATACCTTTTCTGAAGTTGTCTGAGATGTGATGTCAGCAGAAAATTGTAAGCAAACTGGAACACACACACTGTGTGAGCCTTTTTACTGAAATATCTGTTAGCAGTATCATGTGGCCAGGGTATTCTGCAGATGCCCCAGTTCATTCACGTCACAGAATCTCATTTTCCGTTTTTGAGACTTAGTTGAGAATAATAATTTAGTGCAAGTCTTCAACATAACGACTGAAAACATGCTGCTGCAGCTGTGCTTTTGCTAAAAGAGAACTGTAGTATGCAAAATGCACTCTAAAACACTGGAATGACAATCTGAAAACATAAGTGCTTAATATAAAATCTTTCCCTTGTTCTCCTGCACTGTTACTGCATATAAGTGAATTACTTCAGGTTCAGAAAAATGCTTTTCCTGAAATCCTCTTGAGAGAAATATTTCCTGAAAAATGTACTTCTTAAATGTGTTAGCTATGTGCCAAGACTTTGTGATGTTTTTTCATTGTTTGTTCTTAAAGCTCTATTTTTATATTAAACTGCTCCCTATCTCTTGTGCGCAGTTTATTGCAGTCTTGGAGTCATGGCACCTCTGTGGGTACGAACTCCCTGCGGCACTGCTAGCTTGTTGCCTGAGCAAGTGCGACTCAGGGCCATCTGGACAGTTTAGGAAAGCTCTCGAACAACAACAAAAAAAATAGATCATCTTGGTGTGAGATACAGAGAAATAGACAGTGACAGCAAAAAAGCAGGACAGCAGAGAGTCGACCTTGTGGCTTATGCATCTACCCAGGCTGTCAGTACTCACGACTCTCTCGCCACGGCCCTGCCTCACTTTTCCTATCTGCACGGTGCAGACGATGATGCTGAGATTTATCTGGGCTGTGTGAATAAGGAAATGAGATTTATTTGGGATGCGACAATAAGGAGATGTGATTTGGGTCGCTACCAGAATGAGTTGGGAGGAACCGATCTCTTCCAGAGTGCCTTTGCCTGACCCAGGCGCACTTGTGTGTGTTACTAATGCCGAATTTCTGTATGGATTTGTAGCGTTGTGAGCGTTACCTGATGAGATTTAAGTGGGCTAAAAAGTTACCTCTAAGGTGATGTGCTAATGACCCCTCCTTGGTACTGCACTGTAACCCTCAGACGTATAAAGCACTTATTAACGATTTAACAGCCAAGGCTCCGCAGTGTGTGTTCGGGTGGGCCTCCGAGGCGGGCCTGGGACGGCGGGGGAGGGTCGGGAGGTCCGGGGGAACCCGGAAGGATCCGGGCGCTCCCGGGGCTGCGGTCACCGGGGCTGAGGGGGCTCCCGGCCCCGCCCCGCTGCGGCGGCCCCG